AGAGATGAAAACAAGGAGATCCTTCTCAGCATTCAAACACTTCCTACTTCAGCTGTGTGGAGCCTACTTATTCTCTTTGGAAGAGTGGCTAAAAGGATCTGAACTGGACTTCTGGGAGAGGAAAAAGAAGGTTCCTGTATTTTTAAAGTTAAATTTAATTTTTATGGCAAATGTGAAGTTGGGGAAGTGTTATTAAGGCCTGGCTGCCTGCCACAGGGTGGAGTTTTGTTTTGGTATCCTTTTAGAGTTTGCAGGTGTTTGGCATGAACTGCAATCAAGGACAGCTGTGATAGTTCAGATCTGCTATTTCCCTCCCAATATTTCTCAGAACTGATGCAGTGTGGTGATGTCTTACACCTGATATCCTCATCTTGTGTGGTATGCCTAACTGTACTATTACAAAAAGTCTCTCCATTTTTATCACTTTTAAAAGGTGCCGTTCAGAGCAATAAGCTGACAATGCCTATCTTGAGACACACAGCCCAAACTCAATCACTCAAAGTCAATCAAAACAAGACTTTCAGTCTATCTCATGTTATTTTCTTAATTTATTTTCCACAGGCACTTCCAAAATACATGATGTTTTAGACTGCTGTGTAAAAGAACCCACTTCCATGAAGATCAGGACATCTGCTTGCATTCCATAAGCTCAAAAACTAAACACATTGAGGCTGCAAACCTGCCCAATACCTACTTTATTTCTTTGGTTTCTGGCCAGTTACATCTTTTTCAAGAAGCAGAATGGGGTCTATTGGAAACCATTAAAACAACAATAACTACCACCAAAGTTTGTTTATGTTTCAAAAACCCGAATTCCTGATTGTATGTCATGCGCAAGTTCCCAAGAGTGCATTGACCATATTGAGATCATCTAGTGAGTGTTTAAAACTTATTGGGAATTCCTTTAATGCAGCACACAATCTTGGCCTGATTAAAAGGACATTTCTTTAACAAAAATGAATGAAAACTTGGAAACTGCCTGGCTATAAAAAGCTGCATAAAGATGGCCAGCATTACTGCATTTTTCCTGATTGCAAAATGTTCAACAAACATAGTGTCTCATTTATATGTTGACTAAAAATAGTGCTCATCAAATCTGTTGACTCTTTCAATGCTATTCCACACCTAAAAAAGTAATCTATTGCCTTTTAAAGGAACACTCTAATCCAGAAAAGCAACTCTGAGCTGCATGAAATGTTCAGAAGAGAATCTTCACCTCAGGCTACAGATTAGAGATTCAATGTGTGAATGTCCCCTTCATGGAAAATGCTCCTGGATATGGAATACCAGTACTGGGGGTGGGAGAGCTCTCTGCTCAGCTTTCCATATGCAAGGATGATTTGATGCCGGGATGCTGTTCTCCAGTTCCTTAGATTTTCTTGATGATTTGATGTATACAGGCCCATGTGATATCTAACATTTGCACTTTGCCCACTTTCGCATTAAACCACAAGTAATTTCCCTGTGAATTTGTTTTGGAATTGACTTTTCTGCAAAAACAAAGGACTACATAGGATGGGACTGCTGAGGTAGAAGCAATTGCAAGTTACTTCTTGGGAAATGAGGCCCCCACCAGATACATCTCATTTTTGTTACATTCTATACATATTTAAGCTATTTAAATTTGAATTATTTAAATTGTTTGCCATCACACATAAACCATATACATTTAGTTTGGATTCTAGTAGGATATTTATTATAAGGGTGTTTGCACACACATGCTCCAGTTTCTAGTAGTATGCTCTGGGTAAGTGTAAAAGGGCAGAAAGAGGGGTAGGCTATGCCTATGCTTGAGCCAATCCTGATGGCTGGGGAATGCTTTTATGATTCTGGCTGTACATGCATAGGGCCAGGATTCTGCCCACAGATTACATTTAGAAATGATGTGAGGAATGCTTCATTAAGAATAACATAAAGAGTTGCTGCTTCATATCTAACTGGCCTCAGAAGTGCAATAGGTGGCTAGGGACTTCTTATCTGTGATACCTATACTTTTGAATTCCCTGACTTCAGAAGATTCCTACTAATTTTCAGAAAATACCTCACTTCAATGGCCCTTCAGTGGTGGTTAACATTTTCTGGCTGGTTTGCTTGGTTCTATGGTTCATGGTTAGATGTTGCCTAATTATTTTTAATTAGGATTTTTAATTTCAATTTTTACTACATTTCATATTGTAGAATGTTGCTTTGGGTAACCAATGTGTTGACATTCAGTCTATACATTTTAACATAAATAAAGGAATCATTTCCTCCCAATATGGGAATTTTAAAACTTGTAAATACAGTTGATAGTGAAAAGCAGACCATTTCCTTCAAATACCACTCTGTACAAATGTGGTTATTTTATTTGGATGATCTGGTGGACATGTGTTTCCCTGTCTCGGCAAACAGATGCAGTCTTCATAATATGTACCATCACTTGTTGAGCACTGCATTTGACACAGGGAACTTCAGCATGCAAGGTCTTCAGAGATGAAAAAGGAGTAAAAATATGCAGCATTAACAGGCAGATGACAGAAGAAATGAGGTTGTAATGATATGGGAATAAAGAGCCCTCAACATAAAGAGTAGAGGTTCATGTGGACCACAACAAAAGGAAGCTAGAACAGAAAGTCAAAAGGTTTGCGTGCCAATGTTTAAACAGAAACTCCTGAAAGTTCATTTTTAAAGAGCCAGCCTCCTTCCCAAGGTGATCTTTAAATATCACCTTTCAGAGTGTTACAAATGTTTATCTTCTGCAGCCCTTTGAACACATGCATAATCGCTATTTTAGCACCACCGTGTGTATAAACCACTAACCAAACACTAGTAAAATCAACATCCTATGAGTGTTAAAAAGTAAAGGTTTAAATCCCTGTGAAAGTCACAAAGTGAGAAAGTTGGCTTCCCTATTGACCACAGGCAATATTTCCATTGTGTTGCTTCATTCCATGAATCATAGTGCATTGTCTACCAAAACTTCCATTTTGATGAAATACTGGCTTAGCTTTTCTGTGTATTTTCATCACACATTTCTCTGATATCCTTCTGAATGTATGCCTGGTACAGAAGTGAACAAAACAGTGGTCTTTATTTCACCTAAATACTTGTAGACTTGCTTTTGGCAGGTAAGCTGTAAGAAAGATTTTTGTATTTGGAACTAAGATGACTCAGAGTTGTTGAATAATCATTCTACTAGGTTGATTCCAGACTGAGGGAAAAAACCCTTGAAATCAATGGGACAAGTCAGTCATGACTGCTTTATTTCACTTCTTTCAGTGGTTCTAGACTGACTGAACCCATTAACCTGGTTGGTATGACCTAACAACCCACCACAGGTGATCAGCCATGTAGGCTGATCATGTAGGTTAAACCCAATGTGCATTCTGCAGAGTGACTCGTTTTCATTAAGAAGCCATCCGAGAACCCACGACTTGTTTGGGGGCTGTTCATACCCATAGTGGCTTGATGTGTTGCCCAGGCACAGTAGGGCAATTTTATCATGAGTGTCTGGGAAGGGGTAGAGAACTACCTGGCCAGAGTAGGAAAAGCCCCTGTCATGCCTTGCAGTTTTACTCGTGCTGCCACCATTCTCCCTCATCCAGACACAGCTGATGACCGCTTGCTAGCCAGAAATGAAGAGGGGAATGTGGGGACACTTGGCTAAATATCAAAGAGGTGGACTTGCACAACAGAGAAAGTCTCTGAAAGAAAATCAAAGGTTGGCAAGTAAGTTGCTGCATTCCTAAGAGCTCATCAGGCAATCTGATGGCGAGTAGGGCAGTTTCCCATGGTAGCTGGCAACCCCTGGGCACAGATTTTTTAGAGGGTGTCAATGCGGGGACCAAGGCAATGCATTCTGCCACAAAAGCTCCTGTGATACATGCTAGAACCAACAAGAGGGCTGAGGGGGCGCAAGGAGGAAAGAAAAAAAAGGCAGCTGGGCTGGTAATTTGTTGAGGTACCATGGGTTGCTCAGCTAACAGCCAACCCATGGTGGTTTATATGAAGGGAAGTTTAAATGACATACAAGCCTGGTGACACTGCCTTTTAAAAAGTCCACATTGCATCAAAATATAGATCATTTGCACAATTTGGGGACACTTTAACTTCTAGCGCTAACAAGAATAAGATTGGTTTCATAACTATTTATCCAATATGGTTCAGTAAGATATTTTTTGGCAATGTTGAGTTACATGTGAATATACAAGAAAGGAAATTCTTGAATCAATGTCTTTTTAACAATGAAATCAAGTGTAACTTTTTTAAACCCGACATATAGCAGAGAAAAGCCAATTCAAAACATTTGCTCATTTAGTCTTTGAAAACTCTACATTCTGGATTAATTTAGCATAAAATCATATGAAACACATCATGCATAAAGAAGAGTGATGCCAACTTTTAGGACAGCTAAACATATTTGTTGAGAGAATTTTTATAATGAACCACTAATATAGGACAAATTCATTATTCATGACATTTCCAGAAACTACAATCCTAGTCTTTTCTACTATGAAAATGAAGATAACCCAGTCTGAACCTTTGGAATAGGGATAACTACAAAAATAATTATCTGAATACCGTATTACCAATTCATCATTGCTGATCAGAAGTCAGTTTGCAGCAGATTGCAAGCACATCTTACCACACTGCATTCTTTGATACAGAATGACCAATTTTACACTTCCAAATGTCAAGCCCTTCCAGAGCTTGCAAGACATTCTGCTGTGCTGTGAATTTTTGCTGAACTGTAAGTAAAATGTGGTTCAAAAGCTGACAGACTAACAATGGGATACAAACAGTAAACAGAGACATTTCCTAGGATTTGGCTTTTGCAATGCTCCTATTAAGTTATATCTTTACTATATAGTATAGTGTTTACTATATTATGAATAGTATAAAGTTTACTATATTATCTCTTTAGCCAACAGTCAAAATTAAACGTATAATCACAATAGCAAAGGAACAACCATGTGCATATCTTTAAACAAAAATTCAGGATTGTATCCAAGAGAACTGACCTGAGGATCCGAAAACACCTGCTTCATGCTATTGATTGGGCCATATGGAACACCACTACCTTCAAAGAGTTCTAGCCATTCGGTGGTCTCTTTTTCCAAAAATCTAGGAATAAATAAAGAAGCATGCGGTTTGGACTATCCCTTTCAGCCAACAAATTTGAAAACAAAAGAAAAACAAAGTTAGCTTCTATCCAAGCAGTCAATAATTCTGTAAAAATTCTCTGCACGTGTTCCTCGGAAATACAGAGACCAAGCCTTGAGGCAAAAAACATGGTTAGACTGACTTTCAGTTCTATCTGATTTTCTGATGCAATCCAGCAGTGATGCAAACCAACATTATCAGCAGTTTCAAATATAAGCCAGTACACTTCCTCCCATTCTTAATTAACAGTAATGAGCTTCACATTTTTTATTTCATGTCTTTTATTTTTCACAACAAAAAAGATAGATGTGATGTGGTTAAAAGTCTCATGAATAGGGGAAAAAGCTGTTCTATTTTTAAACACAAAGATCCAATTCAAAGCTTTGCAAAGTTTTCTCCTCTGTTACATCTGAAACACATGTCCCAATTAACAACCACAATTGTTGGTCTGATAACAACATTGATTATATGTTTATGTGTTGTATGATTGTAATATTTGTCCCAAGGTCATCCGGTTTAACATATGATATACTTTCCTTATCCTGTGCAAACCAAAATTCCTTGGTTTACTTGGTTGCCTCCTTGAGGCCATTTATAAAATCCTACTTTATCATCATATTCCCATTATTAGATAAACATTTCCTGTTTTTTGTTAGTGAAATGTTACTTCCTCCTTGTTTGGTGGAGTTAGCCAGTAGCAGTTCACATACTGTTCTGAACACACATGAACCAGAAGTAACATTCAGGATGCATCCTATATGTGCTTACTTGCACATATAAGTCTCAGCTGGGTTTACTCCTCTGTAGACACAGGATTTCACTGTAATGCAATCATTTATGTTGGTTGGATTTTGGTTTTGCCACAGTTTCATCAAAGCACAGCAATTTAAGTCAAGGCAAAACTTGGGATTGTTCTCTTCATCGGGTTTAATGAAAGACAACATGATCAGAGTCCAGGCAGGGAGGGAGAGATCACCATCCCCTAAATGTTATGCATATATACAGCTCTATTATAGCAAAGTGAAATAAGCAGCTGGCTACATACAGAAACATGCAAGGTTAGATGCTACAAAAATATTCCAAAAGTTTTTAATGTACAATCAGCATTTTCCATGTTGCAACTGAACTACCCAGATATATTTTAGAGGACAATAATATGATTAGGTTTATAATGAAACAGAGCTACACATTAAAAGGGAATGTCCAGGCAGAAATACACCACTAAAAATATTTAACCATGTAAACATTCATATGCCAAGGTCAGTGATATGTGAAAAGAATCTCTAAGAACTTTGGAATACATAACTGAAGTTGTGACTTCTATCACAACTCTGTGTGGTGCAGTGATTGGCAACTGGAGAGACCTGGGTTCAAGTTCCTGTCAGCCATGAAGTCCATTGTGTAACTTGGTTGCAGTCACTGACTCTTAGCTCAAGCCATCTAACCGGGTTGTTGTAAGAACAATATGGACAGGATGTGGACCATGTAAAGTGCCTTGGGTCACTTGCAAGAGGGGAAAGTGTGAGCTATAACAAACAACACACAAAGGAAAACAAACAAACACAGAATTCTGGTGATTTTGTGAGTGGAATTTAGTGAGCTGCTAGAGAACAAGGCCAAGAAAAGTGAGAATCCAGAAAGCAGGAAAGAATATGTGCCAACAGGCCTGAAAAAAATGTGTTACATGTGTCCATGGGCCCAAAAGGGGTCCTATCCATGCTTTAAGCATTTATACTCCATGCTGGTGGCACAGGCAATAAATGAAATGCAGACAGGAATGGGAAGTGCCAGTGAATATATTTATTTACTTACTTGCGCACTTATTTATAGGCTTCCTATAACTGCCAAGGCCTTCCTAGGTGGCTTATAATACATTAAGACATAAAAAGCACATTAAAACCCCGTTAAAACACTAACAAGTTAAAACATCTATAATAACTGTATAAAAAAGGACCACAGCATTCAGGGGCTAAGCGTTATTTTTTTATTTAAAAAAGGTTAGAAAGGTTAGAATTAGGGCATGAAGATATGAAAATGAATCATAATTAACAGGTGGTAAAGAAGGTACATATAGGAAAACAAACAAACCAAAGTGCTTATGCTACCTGAGAAAGTATTGGCAGCACTGTATACAATCCAATCAAGCAAAAGTATTTGAATGTTAAGAATATTTCAATCTGCAACTATTTATTTGCATCAGCTTTATATCTGCACTAACCTAAAACTGACAACCCCTCACAAAAGCCCTCAGAGGTAGGTTTTCCCTTGAATAGCCACGGTCTCTGTTCTACGTTCTCCTTCGCAATCTAATTTACTGGGACTAAAGTAACATTATTCTAACCACTTCAGCTTACATTATGAAGCAGACTTCAAAACCACGTAATGCTCTGTCCTTCTTGCTCTCTAACAACCCAGCTCACTTGTGCAGTGTTAATCTTCTAAACATTAAAAGGTTGTAATTGTAGCAAGTTCCTTCCTATTCTGAAATCTCATTTGATCATTCTTCCATTTCACCTAATAGCTTGTATATCTTTGTTGACAAATTGTTCCTTTATGCAAATTCACTAGAGTATTTTGGGGTTCAGTTTACATGAAAGACCCTAGGACATCTTTTTAATAAAATGCAAAGTAAAGCATGCCCCTTTCAATATAATATGCAACAGATGTATACCTGGTGCATACCAAATGGTTTTTTTGAAATATCTCTTAGGGTGTTCCTGCATAGTGTGGTGTAGTGGTTAAGAGCATGGGACTGGGACTCAGACGATCTGGGTTCTGGTCCCCACTCGGCCATGGAGCCAACTGGGTGACTTTGGGCCAGTCACAGACTCTCAGCCCAACCTACCTCACAGGGTTGTTGTGGGGATAAGATGGAGGAGGAGAATGATGTAAGCTGCCTTGAGCCCTTTGTAGGAAAAAGGCAGGACATAGATCAATAAATAAATAAATAAATAAATGTTTAGTACACTTATATCCTACCTTTCCTCCATCACTGAGGTGCAAGAGGTTCCCAAGAAGTCTCCCATTCAAGTGGAAACTAGACCAAGTTAGTTAGCCACATCCTATGCCTTCAGACCATACCAAATTCCACTATCTAACTAGACTTCTAATCTCTGAGCATTCATAAAACACGTCTTTGGTATATGAAAGCCTTTAGGAGTCAATGCAATTGCTGGCATAATTGATAAGCTTTATCATGTCAAGCCCTCTTATACAAATGATAGCCTTATTAAGCTTAGCCTTTCAGATCTTGTAAGAATCAAATGCCAGTCTTGGTAATTTAATGTATTTTCCACAAGAAACCCTTCCAAATGTACACCCAATAAAGGCTATTTAATATCAATCAACTCCACTGCCTTCTTCATGTGACAGATTTGTTCTCCACAATGAATCTGCTGCAAAGACTCAAAGGAATAAAATGTTTTCTAGTACTAAGAAACAGTAACAAGTCTCACATATCCTGTCTTTCAAAATTACCAAATAAAATGTGATCACTCTACAAATGATGTCTATTAGCTAATATAAGCCAAATTACAAGGAACAGGAATGGAAACATATGACTCGAAGACCCTAGACCTAGATTCATATTACAGTTGGTCTTCCTTTATTGAGTGCCAGATTCATTCAAACTAACATGACACTTCATAAATTATGTTCTTCCATTAACATACAAAGGACAGACTAGGTCTGCACAGACAGCATCTGCAGTCCCCAGGGACTTCATGGAACCTTTGCGAACATAACATGATATATCTGGCAAACAAGCTGAAGAACAGAATTTGAGACAGCAACAGGGACAACCAAATAACAGCCAGCTATAAGTATCATGTTTTTTAAGTCAGTAAATCCCACATTTAAACTTTCAAAAGAATTAAGTGAATTTGCACCAACTCCTACAGAACAATATGAGGAATAAAATTGGCACGGTGAAAAAACACTGGGAACCTTTAAGAGTAACATAAGGACATAACTCCAAATGTCCATAACACTCAAACACTGCTGGTACAGCAGTGGCCAGGGATGGGGAGGGAGGGAGGCTGGGCCACTAATAAGGCTTGGCATAATAATGCCACAGCAACCATGCATATGGATGTATGAAGAATTTAATTGTTGCTAATTCCAAAATTATATGGCACCTCTTGGACAATTGGTATATGGATAACAAAGTAGCAAAGGCACCTAATTTCAGATGGATTGCTGCAACATAGTTATTGGCAGTTTCAATAGATAAAAACACAGTTGTTGTTGTTAGTTGCGAAGTCGTGTCCGACCCATCATGACCCCATGGACAACATTCCTCTAGGCCTTCCTGTCCTCCACCATCCCCCGGAGTCCACTTAAGCTCACAGCGACTGCTTCATTGACTCCATCCAGCCACCTCATCCTCTGCCATCCCCTTCTTCTTTTGCCATCCCAGCATTAGGGTCTTCTCCAGTGAGTCTTTCCTTCTCATAAGGTGGACAAAGTATTTGAGTTTCATCTTAGGGATCTGGCCTTCTAAAGAGCAGTCAGGGTTGATCTCCTCTAGGACTGACAGGTTTTATCTCACTGCAGTCCAAGGGACTCACAGGAGTCTCCTCCAGCACCACAATTCAAAGGCCTCAATTCTTCAACGCTCAGCCTTCCTTATGGACCAGTTTTCACAGCCATACATTGCAACTGGGAAAAACATAGCCTTGACTATACGCACTTTTGTCGGCAGGGTGATGTCTCTGCTTTTTAGTATGCTGTCTAGATTTGACATAGCTTTCCTCCCCAGGAGCAAGCGACACTGTCTGTGGTGATCTTGGAGCCCAGGAAAATAAAATCTGTCACTACCTCCATGTCTTCCCCATCTATTTGCCAGGAAGTGATAGGACCAGATGCCATGATCTTAGTTTTCTTGATGTTGAGTTTCAAGCCAAGTTTTGCGCTCTCCTCTTTCACCCACATCATGAGGCTCTTTAGTTCCTCTTCACTTTCTGCCATTAGAGTGGTATCATCTGCATATCTGAGGCTGTTGATATTTCTCCTGGCAGTCATAATTCCAGCTTGTGATTCATCTAGCCCCGCCTTTCTCATGATGTGCTCTGCATATAAGTTAAATAGGCACGGCGACAGTCAGTATACAGCCTTGCCGAACTCCTTCCTCAAATGTGAACCAATCAGTGGTTCTATGTCCAGTTCACACTGTTGTTTCTTGACCTGCATATAGGTTTCTCAAGAGACAAAAAAGATGGTCTGGTACTTCCATCTCTTGAAGAACTTGCCACAGCTTGCTGTGATCCACACAATCAAAGGCTTTAGCATTGTCAATGAAGCAGAAGTAGATGTTTTCCTGGAACTCCCTAGCTTTCTCCATGATCCAGCGTATGTTGGCAATTTGATCTCTAGTTCCTCTCCGTCTTCAAAACCCTGCCTGTACTTCTGGTACTTCTCGGTCCACATACTGCTGAAGCCTAGCTTGTAGGATTTTGAGCATCACTTTGCTAGCATGTGAAATGAGTGCAATGGTGCTGTAGTTTGAACATTCTTTGGCATTGCCCTTCTTTGGGATCGAAATGTAAACTGACCTTTTCCAATATTCTGGCCACTGTTGAGGTTTCCAAATTTGCTGGCATATTGAGTGTAGCACTTTTACTGCATTGTCTTTTAAAATTTTGAATAGCTCATCTGGAACACTGTCACCTCCACTAGCTTTGTTGTTTCTCAGACTGCCTAAGGCCCTCTTGACTTTATATTCCAGGATGTCTGAAGCGAGCTCAGCAACCACCCCATTGTGGTTATCAGGGATGTTAAGCACTTTCTTGTATAGTTCCTCTGTGTAATCTTCCCACCTCTTCTTAATCTCTTCTGCCTCTGTTAGGTCCCTGTCATTTTGGTCCTTTATCATGCCCATCTTTGCATGAAACGTTCTCTTCATATCTGCAGTTTCCTTTAAGGAATCTCTAGTCTTTCCCATTCTAATGTTTTCTTCTATTTCTTTACACTGTTCATTTAAGAAGGCATTCTTATCTCTTCTAGCTATTCTCTGGAATTCTGCATTCAATTGGGTGTATCTTTCTCTTTCTCCCTTGCCTTTCGCTTCCCTTCCTTCCTCAGCTATTTGTAAAGCTTTCTCAGACAGCCATTTTGCTTTCTTGCATTTCTTTTTCTTTGGGATGGTTTTAGTTGCTACCTCTTTGACAATGTTGCGAACCTCCGTCCATAGTTCTTGAGGCACTCTGTCTATCAGATCTAATTCCTTAAATCTATTTGTCACCTCTACTGTATATTCAGCAGGAATATGATTTAGGTCATACCTGAGTGGCCTAGTGCTTTTCCCTACTTTCTTCAATTTAAGCCTAAATTTTGCAAATAAAAGCTCATAATCTGAGCCACAGTCAGCTCCTGGTCTTGTTTTTACTGACTAGATAGAGTTTCTACATCTTTGGCTGCAGAGCACATAGTCAATCTGATTTCTGTGTTGACCATCTGGTGAGGTCCATGTGCAGAGTCGTCTCTTGGGTTGTTTGAAAATGGTGTTTGCCATGACCACCATATTCTCTTGACAAAATTCTACCAACCTTTGCCCTGCTTCATTTTCTACTGCAAGACCAAACTTGCCAGTTATTCCGGCTATCTTTTGGCTTCCTACTTTAGCATTCCAATCCCCCATGATGATATGGACATCATTTTTGGTGTTAATACTAGAAAGTGTTGTAGGCCTTCACAGAACCAGTCAATGTCAGTCTCTTCAGCATCAGTGGTTGGGGCACAGACTTGGACCATTGTGATGAAAGGTTTGCCTTGGATTTGAACTGAGATCATTCTGTCATTTTGGAGATTGTATCCCAGTACTGCTTTTCCTACTCTTTTATTGACTATGAAGGCTACTCCATTTCTTCTAAGGATTCTTGCCCACACTGGTATACCTGATGGCCATCTGAATTAAATTCACCCTTTCCTGTTCATTTTAGTTCACTGATTCCTAAGAGGTCGATGTTCAGTCTTGTCATCTCATGTTTCACCACGTCCAGCTTACCTTGATTCATTGATCTTACATTCCAGATGTCTATGGTGTATACATCTTTACAGCATCCGATTTTCCTTTCACCAACAGATACATGCACAACTGAGTGTCCTTTCGGCTTTGACTCAGTCACTTCATTCTGTCTTGCGCTACTAGTACTAGTCCTCTGCTCTTCCCCAGTAGCACATTGGACACCTTCTGTCCTGAGGGGCTCATCTTCCTGCGTCATATCTTTTTGCCTTTTGGTACTGTCCATGGGGTTTTCATAGCAAGGATACTGGAGTGAGTTCCCATTTCCTTCTCCAGTGGATCTACTTTTGGGTGCCCCTGCATGGCATAGCTCACAGCTCCATTGAGCTGCACAAGCCTCTTTGCCATGACAAAGCAGTGACCCATGAAGGGGAAACACAGACTAACATATATACTGTATATAACAGTCTATAAGGTGACTTGGGTATAGGTCAAGGTCAATATTTTGGGCTGTTTTTCTGGGGTTTGTCTTAGGTTAGGTATATAACAGGCCCCCCAATTTTTGCTTTGCTAGTTTTGGTTTGAAGGGTCATCTTATATGCCAATATGTATGGTAATAACATGTGGAACAAGCAACCAGGAAGTATCTTTCAGAATAATACTGTTTATATCAGTGTATAATGTGATATAATGTGTATAAGACAAGATTGATATTTTGGGCTGTTTTTCTGGTGTGTCATAGCTCAGGTATATAACTTTCCTCCCAATTTTTGCCTTGCTGCTCTATTTTCAAGGATCATCTTATACCCCAATATATGCAGTATTTATTTTAAAAGAAAATATACATTTAAATATATATTTAAATACATGTATAGAACATATTTTAAGAGATTTCTTTCAACTGCAGATTAATGCAAACTGAATGTGAAATTTACACAGACCAGAGGTAGACAGATTTGTCATTTCTCATATAATCAATCTTGCTCAAGTCAAATCCTCTCCTTCTCCTCCTTATGTGGGAATGTTTTATTTTATTAACAGTAAAAACTAAGTTTTTATTAACATATGTAACCCTGCAATTAATACTTGTGACATCAAATATCTCAACATAATGTATAAATGAGAAATTACACACATACACAAAAAGAAACACAATTACAAAATGGTACACATAGGATCAGCATTGCTACATTTGAAAACAAGTGTTCAGAAATAAACATTTTAAAAGTGAAACCTGAAAGCATACCTGGCTGATAAAATTCCAACAAGTTCTTTCCTATTTAACACTCGCTGCTGGTTATTTTTATATCTGGAATCTTGACTGATTTCAGGCAAACTCAGGATCTGAATGAAATGAAATGAATTCAGTAACTTCATTTCCACAGAAAGTTGTATGGACCGGCTTTTCCATGCAATGGTTTCCATTGTTACAATAAACATAATCAAATCAAATAAATAAACTGTATTCTCTTATATAGCTTTTCTAAAATGAAATCTATGCCCACATGTCAAAAGCACAATCACATTTTATTTATCAAAATATTGTTATCGTTCCCTTTCACTCTATGTCTACAACTCCCTACTTGCTCATATTATGATGATCATAAAATATTTATACACTAATAGCATCTTAGATTTGCCTCCTTATAATCTACTTAAAATTATTACTCATATTCCAGTGAAATCCCAAAGGGACAGATTTGTGAGTTTTATCTGTTATAAATAAATAAATAAATAAATAAATCTGTTATTAGGTGTGTTTGTATGGAACAGTAAACCAGGATTCTGAATAATCCTGGCTGACTGTGGGAAAGTTGTGTGCTGATACACTCAGATCATTCAGTCCCATTTTGCTTCTCTCTGTTAATTTGTTAAACTGGAAATGGTTTCTTTAACTTAACTAGGAATCCTGACTTGTTGCTCCCAAATTAGCCCAAATTTGTAAACCAAGAACAAACACGTGCAAAGTTAGCAACAGAGTCTGAAATAGCACAAATGCAGAAACGTATCTTTTAAACTAAAGGTTCGGCACCAGTGCACTCCTGGACACCTATCACCTTAACAAAAAGATACCCTGCCCTCCCCACATTTTCTTACCAACAGCTGGAATTGCTGTGAAGGTTTGTGTTGGTACTGAAAACTGTGGGTCCAAAGGAACTGTTTAGTGTGTACATGGCACAGACAGTCACTTTGCTTTCTTTGCAGAGTTTTGTGCAAGTTACTTGTTTCTGTGACAGCCATATTGTAGTGGTGCCCAGGTAAGTTTCTAAAATTGCCTGAAGTGTCAACAGCCTGAAAATGTTGTTTGCCTCTGTTTAAAGCAATGCATTTTAATATTCCTTTAAACAAGTTGCTATAAAGACAGATAACTAACAGTTTGCAACTCTGGAATTAAATAGGAACAAGAAGTGAAAGCTATTCTATCATATAAGACCAAGATTTAACATTCTCTTATTTAGCAATCAGTCAGCAGCAACACAGGCTTTCTTAGGCAACAACTTGAATTTCCCCCATTTTTATTACCTTGCAAACAGTGGCAAATTGTTGGTCATTTCCTGCTCCTACCACGATATAGCCATCCTTGGTTTTGAAAGCCTAGAAAACAGTTAAAGGAGATCAGATCATAATTAAAACATGCATTATGATACTATTATGCGTAATGAAAAATCCGATTTCTTCTCTTTTCCCCTCTCCTTCAGTAATTTCTAAATGACACTCTCCTTCAGCACTAGCCTGTATGCAACTCAAAAATCTAATACTGAGGGTCCAAGTTATAAATCAACTCTTATATCCAAATGTATTTATTTTTACAGAGGTATTATTATTGTTGTTATTGTTATTGTTATGCTAAATCAGGAGTGTGAAACCAGATGTGTGGAACCACATCTGTGGAGCTCTTTGCTATGCTATGCTAGTCACGAAGTCACGTCTGACCCATCACGACCCCATGGACAACATTCCTCCAGGCTCTCCTAGGGTTCCCAAAACAAACAAATCCCCTTCTTCTTGCATTATGTCCTTGCCTTACTTGGTGGTTTTCCAGCTTTTGCACAGTTTTTCTGCATTCTAAAAAACTGAATTGCTTCTTCTAAGGCTTAGGTAATGGCAGGAACTGTAGTAAGCTAAAATGTGTGGAGTGTTTTGGTCCTGCTCCGTTTTTTGTTTGGCCTTATTTCCCCTGCCCTGGAATTGGAATCCTGGGGGTTTCTCCATAATTGAATTTGACCCTCAGGCTGAAAGAAGTATGTCAACTCTGTATTAAGCCATTCCCAGAATGTTTTCTGGACTGGGAGATTTCTATTTGAACACATTTGTAGTTAAAATCTGTAATAAAATGTGGAAGAAAAACTAGTTATCTTCATATCAGGTATAATCTCCATTTTTTATCAAAGTGTCTGTTAAAGAATCCAAGTATAAAACATATGAGGCTGCTATCTTGAGAGTACCTTTTACATCTCCCTTATGAAATGTGGTATGGAACTTTCAAGGAACATTAGCAAAGTTTCACTACTCATGATGTACATGCATATTAAATTGTTCTTCCTGTCATCTCTGGTCAAACAGATTGACCAGATTGACAATACAAAAACTTGCCAAACCTGTTTGCCAAAAGTGCAAGTAGGCTGACTGCTCAAACCCAACCAGCAAACTCTCTTTCACATGGCCATCCATCCATCCATCTCTTGAATGGCTGCCAAAGGACTGTCCTTTGCTTTGAAGGCATCCTCGGTTTAAAAGGCTATCAAGTCTATGCACAAAAAAGAACAAACAGATGGACCTGAAACTGGCCAGAATCCACACCTGGATAGCAGACTGAGCAGACTCAGGTCATCTGGCTATGGTCCTCTCCATTATGATGAGGTGTTATTTCAGTTATAATTATTATTTCTAAATTTGCATCTATACAACCAAATACTTATAAGAAGCTTTAATGCAAATCCAGGTCATCTTTTGTACTCTTTTCTGAAGATTCATAACTACCCAACTGACCTCCAACCCCCTCTCAAAAATTATGGTTAGTTTACGGGAAACCTGAAGTAACATATGTTAGAAACAGGCTGAGCTTTTCAACCTTGGATGAATTCTGCATCACAACACACATACTGTATAGTCATTGAACATTAAATGTTTAAGGTTTCCATAGATGCCTTACAACATCCACAATAGCCCTATTAACACAAATGCATAAACAATTGTGTGTATATCATCAATTATTACTTTGCAAACACAGGGCAGACCACACAGCAGCAGCATACTTGCATTCATCCTCTTCAAACTGCCAATTCTGAAGTCACTACATTTAAAGGTCCAATCATTAATGTTTCTGCTTCACTGACTTTGGTGAATGTGTGGGAAAACCAACTAAATGCTAAAATGTAATTAGGAAAAATATAACAACCATGTCATCTTTAGTCAACAGCAGTATCGTAATAAGTGCCGCAGTGTTTCTATATGAAATATACTCTCTTCTGCAGCAAAGCAACTATTCTGGGCTTTCCAACACAGAAATAGCTGATTCTTTGGCAGTAACTGTTGCTGGTAAAGCAGAAACTTCCAACATTATTCTCACAGCAATAGCAACATTTAAGCACACCAACAATAGCTTCATTCATGGCCTAGGGATGAACATACACACCACAGGTTACCACAGGTTACTGTCCGGTCATAGAAAGTTCTACTATCTTATTATACAGAGGAGATGGTGGGCAAAGTAGAGACAGATTTTAATGAGATTGTGTTTTGATCAACTGCTGCCCATCGCAGTGAATCAGTTCAAATTAGAGCAATAAAATCTGTGCACATGGCAAAAGTCCTTTCTGTGTGTGGCTTTTGTTTGTAAAGAATGAAAATTTATGATAGGATGTCCAGGAACATGATGTAATTTGCATGCAAAATAGTACACAACATTGGTGTCCTGAACTCTGAAGCTTAAGAGTAGTTGAAGAGAAAAAGCAGCAGACTAGGAAAATTACAAATCTTGTTATGGGGAATCAATGGAGATGAAAGACACAGCATCAATCAGAAAGAGTTGGAAGGGAACCTATGTAAATAAATGTAGAACAATAAACAAAGGCACAAAGACTAATGGGTTTACACTGCAGGTCTGAGATAGTATTATAGAGCTCCCCTAATTATTGAGGAGTGAAATGGAATGTCAAGGGATGGGAACAGCAACAAAGGCCTAATGAGAACTTCAGGAGGTACCCAAGTCAAGTTTCTGTTTATTCTATTCTGGGGTTTCATCTGGATCTAAAGCTAGGATGGAAATCAAATAAATCATACAGACATTTGTGGTAATAATGGTAAATATTATAAATAACTGTGATAATCATTGTAAAACTATGTAATACTTGTAGTGTACAATCATTTGCTTAAGAAAACATAGCTAGTGACTTTTCTTGGAGGCTTCAAGACGAAATGGAAGAACACAAAATATACAGCTGAGACATAGTCCAGTGTTTACTCATGTCTAGTCAAGTAACTATACTGAGGAACATCCTGGCTCACAGTTCAGGGTATTTCTAGATACTGGGTTGATCAAAGCTTAGTCATACTGGGAGGACACTGAATGAACTAAAGTGAATTTGAAGCATGACTTGATAGTTTCAATAGGCCTCCTAGGTATTACTAATCTGGTTCGAACCCAGTAACAACAACCAGAGTTTTTGCTAGGGTATACTGGCACTAGTCTTCTTCACTAATAATTGTACAATTTTCAAACAACACATTCATTTGTTTCAAGTACTTCACACACACTGTGTCACATTCAGATGAAGTTAATCAAATTTGGTCCCCACTGACAACTGCTTTGTCCCACTGATTACAGTAGAACCTAAGTTTAGGTAGGTTACTCTGGATCTCCATTGGTCCCTCCATCTATGCTTCCGGAATGCTAAAGCATGTGCCACCTGAAGGAAGTTCAGCAGCACCCACAGCTCTGACTTGTACCTTTGATCATTCTTCCCATTTCTCTTTGATAGTGAAAACATTGCCTAATTCAAGCTTAGTCTTCTGCTTCTTATGGGAAATGGACTTCTGAGAATGAAGCAAGTTCAAGCTGACCACAATGCGGAAACTTCTGGAAACACATGAAGTCTTTAGAGCATCCTCTTGACAACCCTCCAGCTGGGGTGCCGAATTAACAACATGAACATGAGACTGTAAACATTTGCCCCACCCCGTGTGACACCCAAAATGAGAACTGATTGATGTGCTCTATTTTTTTTATTTTTTTGCATACAGAACCATGACCATAGAGTTTTCACTAGAAGAGGTATCACACTCACACACACAACCATAAACTTTATGACTGCTTTTTTACTTTGAGATTCCCAGTGCTCTACTTTTAAGATACAAATACTTAGCAACAAATCATTACACTCTTTTACCTGTTTCATCCCCATATCTTAACTTCTAAAATCACAGCTCTTCACAACTGGCAACCAGCCGATGGAAACAGAGGAATTTTCTATTCTCCTTGAGGGATGGAATTGTTTTGAGCAGCAAAAGCAAAGTTCCCATGGAGGGCATGGATACATTGTAAAATGTAAAAGAACTCTGTTTATGTTGCTAAAAACAAGTAGCACCACAAAAGAAGTATTGTGAAGGACATGGGAAGAAATGTGGAAAGCAGTCAAGGAGCAGGTGTTGAATATAAAGATCCTTTATTTAAAAATTGAAGGCAGCCCTGCTGGCCCAAAGAAAAATCCCACCCCTGTGCCAAAATCCATATTAGCATAATACCTTTATTAGGCCAACTCAAAGGTCACGAAATACCATGAAGGCTATTAGTTACTTCAAAGCAAAATATGGTAGGCAAAGCAAAAAAAGGGCTGATGTTAAAGTAACAGGGTCTACATTTGATTACTCTTTACTTTCTGCCATTTTAAAAATCAGAGGACTTTATCCAAAGTACTTTTAATATACAGCACGTAACAGATTTCCTGCCCATACAGGAGCATTAGCAATAGAATAACCAATCCTTGCCTGATAACAACAAAAACTTCTGGAAGACTAATATTTTAGCTATTACCCTCCCCATTACTTACACAAATGAAATATTTAACAATAATTTTATTGTTGTACACCAGAAACTTTCCAACAAAATTAAAGCTGCAATGCTAAAAATTTGAGCAGGAACATTCCGCCAGGGCATGGTAGAATAATAGATTCATAACTGGAAGGGCCAGTAAGGTCTAATCCTTTGCTCAATGCAAGACTCCATGTTAAAACATCTCTGCCAGATGATTGTCCAACTACTTTTTGAAAGCCACCATGACCTCTCTAGGTAATTGGTTCCATTGTCATACTGCTCTAACAGGAAGTTTTCCTGATGTCTAGCTGGACTCTGGCTTCCTATAATTTGATCCCAATTATTCCATGTCCTTCATGTTAGCATGACTGGGAAGAGATTCTACAAAATACACTGTAGCTCTCCTCAGTTTTCTCTTCTCTAGGCCAAACACGCCCATTTCTTTCAATCTCTCCTCACAGGGGTTTATTTCCATATCCCTAATCATCCTTGCCACTCTCCTCTGAACTCCCTCCAGCTTGTCTACACAATGATGCCAGGTGACTAATATAAAGATTTCTGG